CAGCACAAGCCAACTCTAGAACAGGGGGACTGTCGCAGAAGAAATGGTTGACTTTATTAGGTCCACAAAATGGCAAACTGAAGATCCATGTGGTCTGTACAGTAGAGACAGGGAAGCCTGAGAACCATGATGCAGCAGCTAACTGGAAGCAGGTCCTTCTGTTCATAATGTCTGGATAACGTAAGGGATTGCAGATGGCAATGTAACGGTCATATGCCATGGCAGCAAGAAGACAGCACTCAGCTGCACCAAAGAAGAAGAAGAAATACATTTGTGTGGCACAGCCAGCATAGGAAATGGTCTTGTTCTCTATCAGAAAATTGACCAGCATCTTTGGGACAATGACCAAATTGAAGCAGATCTCCAAGAAAGAAAGGTTCCGGAGAAAGAAATACATGGGGCTTTGAAGTGAAAGGTCCAAGGTTGTGACAAGAACAATGAGGACATTTCCTGACAAAGTTATTCCATAGATGATAAGGAAGAGGATGAAAAGAGGTACCTGAAGCTCAGGGTGATTGGAAAAGCCAATAAGGATGAATTCTGTAACACTGGTCCAATTGTCTTGGGTAATTAACTTTTTCTCAGTCTGTGTCATCATATTTTGAACACTGTCAGATAAAGCTGTCGGGGTGTTCCTTCTTCTATAAGCAATTTTCTCAAGAGATGGTAGTGTCTCTCTACCACTCTTCAACCATTGAACTTGTTCCTTTCTGTTAGTAGATGATATAGAAAGCAATAAAGGATGGACAGGTCAAATATGGGCAGTTTAAGGCAGGATAAGGGGAAATGTATTGTCACCAGTCTTGAAAAGTTGACTTCCTCGGTCTAATTGTCCATCACTTTGTTAATCAGTGTCTTGTTCTTTAATGTGCTCATTTTGTTCTCAAGGCATTTCTCCCTCTCCAACACCCTGCATTACACAACAATTTCCTGTAGCAACTTCACATAAAATAAAATACTATAGTGTGCGTAGGAGAGTTGTTCACTCCCTCATTGAGAAACTGTTAGATGGAATATCTTACATGTTTAACTGTGGCTGGGAAAAATCTATTCGAAACATAACCATTACATTTACAGAATTGGTTGGGAGATAATCCATACCTTTTGGCTCTATGACTGAAATGCTCCACTTACTAATTTGCAAGTGTAATTTCAAATAAGACCTCTGCAAACTATTTGTTTAGATTTCTCTCAAGAATGATCTACCTGTATTTCACCAAATAATCATTGCCACTGCAAAATAGCTATACCCTTTTGGGGGGGTGTCCGAAAATCAGTCCCAAAGGATTCACCGCATAATCGTCGCAGGAGTGAAAATACCTTTCCAAAGAGTGAAAATCCCTTGCGAATGAGGTGTTTCATTTTGCTCTGAAGCTGTTGTTTACTTTCAACAGCATTTCTCTGCTTTTAAAAATTAAATGGCTCTTGGTGCAGCTGTTTCCCAGGCTCTTCCTATTCTGCTGTGGGCCCACTCCTGCCTGTGGGCCTTGCCTGTTGGCTGAGCCAGCCCTCAGCCCATGAAGAACAAGGCAGCCCCACACAGGGAGCGAAGGCAGCGGTGGCAGCTGAGGAGGCCCAGCCCAAGACCCAGCAATGGAGGAGAAATTTGGCAGGAGAAGGGATGGTGGTGAGGTCGTGCCCAGAGGCACACAGCTGGGATCCGCAGATTTGCCCAGTACCCAGTAACTGCCTGTGCCAGGGAGCAAGCAGCAGAGGGGTGCATGCCTGAGGCAGGGCCAGTGCAGAGGGCCTTCTGCTTCTCCATGTGGGGCTCACGGGGCAGGGAATGTAGGGTTTCTTATTGCAGAACTGTCTCCTCCCAGGTGTCCCCAAATGCAGCAGCACACAAACACTCTCCCCACACCCACTTTTTTTCTTGCATAATCACCACACACACCCTTTTGGAAAGAAAAATTTACATAAAAAATGTAATGATTATGTGGTGAAATACAGTATCTCTTCCCTGCAGACTTTAATACCATATCACAAACTGCTTTGGGAATTCTCCCAATTTCAACCTGGCTGCCATGGTGGGCAGTAAAGTGGGAGCCCCGGTCAAGACATACAAATTCAAAGATCCCTTGAGTGCACAGAGCTAGTCACACAGTTCTTTGTAGGCTCCTCCTCAAGCTGTCCAGTGTATGTGAGTTGACATTTATTTTACATCTATGACTCCACCTAGCTCCTAGCTGCTCCTAGCTGTGATTGGTGAAGCTATGGGGCAGTGCCAATTTGTATTTCCTTTTCTTCAATCTGTCTCCTGTTTAGTGGTGGTGGGCTTTAAGCTTCCCAGCCAGGCCTCTACTGTTCTGAGCTGTCCTAGCCATCCACCTGAATATAAGAGAATGAGGGGCACGGGGACATTTATTTGACTTGCACCAGACTAGGGGCACTGGTATCTGTTCAGGACTGACCTGCATCACCCAGCAACTTACTATAACAACTTCACGGTGAGTTCTGGCACATATTTTCTTGGAAAAAAGCACTGAGGAAATGGGAGAGGTCTTTGGCTAATCATTTGTTCATTTCTTACAAGTTCCTCTGTTTTGTTTACCTTGTCTAGACCTTGTCCATATACTTAGTAAGAAAATACCATTTATCTTGCTTGTTTCCTGAATCATGACTTTACTTTTGGAGGAAGATTGCGCTCTCTCTCTCTCTCTCTCTCTCTCTGTGTGTGTGTGTGTATGTGTGTAACCTGATTGTTTCTTACAGGAGGTGATAATTAAAGTTTGCTGATTACACCAAATTAGTGTGCTAATCTTTAATATTAAGAGGTCAGGAATTTTTACACAAACCATTTAGATTATGTTTAAGATAAAGACTGGCATCAGGGTCATGAAAGTTTATTGATGGTATATTTTATATCAAGTTTTGCCAACTTTACTGATGGTATTATCTACGGGGAGGGGGGTGAGGGGAGCCATAAGAAAAGTTCCGATGGGTACACATCACTACATTTGGAGATGGTGAAATCTCCTTCACTGGAAGCAATTAACCAGAGGATGATATGCTATTTATCTGGGATGCTGAAAGTGCAAAAGTGCTGTACTGGACAGGGGCTGGAGGTGGACTAAAATTATGGAGGTTTACTCTAAAATTATGTGAATTCTCCATTTATCACATATAGTGATGTAGAATGCAGGCTAATGCAAGTGGACAGAATATCGTATGAAATGGAAAGGAAGCTTTGCTGATTCTAAATTAGTGTTATATCATATAAATCAAAGTGAAGAATCACACAATGTCCACTAGTCAAAATGGGATGCTAGACTAGATTGGCCTGATCCAGCAAGCTTCTTCTTATGTTCTTATTCCTAAATTGGAATAGGTGATAAAAAACCCAGGCATATATATGAATAGACTAAGGTTGAACTCATAAATTTCCTGTTGATTAAAGCAGCTACATGGCAAAGGTTTGCTAAGTAAAAATGAATAAATTATTTGCCTACCTGAAGAATCTTAGGCGCTTAGGAGCCACCCAGATTGTGAAAGATTTGTGCTTTGGTGAGCAAGTTTGATTATATGAATTTCCTTAAGTGACACCTGGGATTAGATTGCCCCCCTTCATTCTCCCTAGAGTAGTTAATGCTAATTGTGCAATATCTGACTAAACCAATGTTTACTTTTCAGAAAACACAGATACAATTATGTTAACAGGGATGTTTTCCCTACTGACATTTTGTGGGTGGAATAGAACATGCTTAAAGTAATATGCTGTTTCCCCTATCCACAAGAGTAGATTAACAGTCTAGATTAATTTTAATTCTGATATAGGTTTCTGTCTTCATCAGCTGTGCATTTTGTCATCAGTACTTACAACAGTTAATGGGACAGAGGGCTGTATTCCCACCACCCCCAACAGTAACTAAGATACAGGCTCAGACAACATGGTGGAAGCAATGTGAGACCCACATTGAGCAAAAGGTACCTGCATTGCAGGTAGTTGGCCTAGATGACCCTTGGGGTCCCTTCCAACTCCACAGCTCTATGATTTTATGTTCTTAGCATGGCATGGTGTGCTGTACAAATTATCAGTTTTATAGGAAACTATCACTTCATTGTGATAGCAACCTATAATGGGTTGTATTGAAAGGATGCTTTTCTCCAACAGAAGGAGCTTCTTCCAAGGAAGATCATTCTACTGGAAGAAGTGTGTTTTAAAGGAGGCCAAGAATCTTTGGATCCAACACCTTGAGACAATCTTAAAAAATAAAGCACTGAAGTTCATATATAGGAAATACATCATCCAACCAACCTAACACATACATGTTCTTATTTGCAGCACTAACAAGCACTGGCACAAAATATTTTTAACAACCACCATGAAGTGCTTGGTCCATTCATTTTTCACATTGTCCCCAATGCCTTCCCTATGCATCCTGATCCCTCCTTCCCTGTTGACAGTCCTCCAGTGAGTGGAGAGCTGCATTCACAATAGCTGTACACTTATGCAGGGCTTGTCTCCAGATGTTGGACTGCAGCTCTCATCCTCCATGCCCTTTGGCCATGTTGGCTGGGGCTGATGAGAACTGGAACTAAACAATGTCAGCAGGGCATTGGCTATGCCTGACTTTATGGCAAGCTAGGGAATTGAGTGGATCCAGTCCTAACATATTTTTTGCTATCAAGATTCTCAATCACAGAGCAACAGAAGGGGTCACTTATAATTTTATATCTCATTCTCAAAATATATTTTCAAAACAGGGAGATATGTTAAAATGCAACAACAAGAAATAACTGAAGGGAATCTGTTACCTTTGTAGGGTAGATGCAGGTGAGTAAGGAACATAGGAAGTTGCCATATGCAGTCAAACCACTAGTTCATCTAGTTCAATATTGTCTACATTGTCTATGAGTGGAACTCCAAGATTTCAGACACTGAGTTTCTCTTAGCCCTTTTTGTCATTGTTGAAGACTCAGCCTGGGTTCTTCTGCATGCAAAACAGATGCACCACTACTGAACTACATCCCTGGAACCCTTCCAGTCTTTCATGTGATTACAGATGCAATTGCAGTGCTTTTCTACTCAAAAGTCTCTTCATGGCTTCTTTCACTTCCTTGTTTCTCAAACTGTAGATGATGGGATTCAGCATGGGAGTGACAACTGTGTACGATAAGGACAACAGCTTTTGGGTGTTTGGAGAATAACTGGATTTGGGTCGGAAATAAGTTAACCCAGCTGTGCCGTAGAACAAAGTCACCACAACAAGATGTGAAGAGCAAGTGGAAAAGGCTTTGTGTTTGCCTTCGGCTGATGGCATTCGTAAGATCGTAGTGATTATATGAACATAGGAGACCAATATTAGGATAAATGGGGATAGTACAATTACAATAGTCCCTGTGAGAGCATACAGTTCAAACAGATAAGTGTCTGCACAGACTAGTTTTAACACTGGTGGACCGTCACAAAAAAAGTGATTGACCTTATTAGGACCACAGAATGGGAAACTAAATAGCCATGTTGTCTGAACTGTCCCCACTGGAATTCCTGAACACCAGGAGAACAGGGCCAGATGGATACAAAACCTCTTTTTCATAATTACTGTATAGTGCAAAGGGCTGCATATGGCTATATAGCGGTCATAAGCCATGGAAGCCAGGAGAAAACACTCAGAACTTCCAAAAAAGAAAAAGAAATACATTTGCATGACACACCCAGGGAAGGAAATGGTTTTGTTCTCTGAAAGGAGGTTCACTAACATTTGAGGGACTATAACTAGAGTGAAGCAGATCTCCAAGAAAGACAAATTCCTGAGAAAGAAATACATGGGGTTTTGAAGGGCTGGATCAATTGTTGTGAGCAAAATGATGGTGATATTTCCCAATAAGGTCACAATATACATAATCGCAAATACCAGAAAAAGCAGAAGCTGCAGCTGAAGAAGATCAGAAAACCCCAGCAAAATAAACTCAGTGACATCACTACTGTTTGTCCATGCCATTCTTTATTATTTACTAAGAAGTTAAGGGAAGGGGGTGGCTATTCCCCCCCCGTTATGTTGTTCCTGTAATGCTAACCAGACTCAAAGGAATTGTGATAAGAACAATATACTGCACAAACCTTTAAGAATTGCTACACCACAATACACTATGTTTTGGAATGCTTTTGCAAAATGAATGTTTCTGGTTGTGGCAACAGCACCTCAGGATTGATCTCCAAGTATGCATCTTAAGATGCATCACACACAAAGCATGGTGATAATGTTGTGAAACCATGACATGGTGCAGATTATGGGAAAGTGAAAAATCCAATATGTGTTTGCAGTATAGCAGCTGCATTTCCTCACTGTATATCCAGTCTTCATTTGGAGCCATCATTTTTCTTTGTAGAATAGAAAATAACATCTATAAAGGAAAGGAGCAGAGGAAGAAAAAATAAATGAAAACTTGACATTATGAGGCTGTCATTGGACAAACAAGTATAGCTTATATAAGCTTATTATTTAAATATTTCAGTTCTAAACTCCTTGAAATGTATGTTAAAGATTCCTTTCTTTCATAAATGCTTAAACCAATGTTCTAAATTTAACTCTTCTAACGACAAGAACTGTTTTGCTTCTGCAGAATAAATTACCTGTTCCATATAGTCACATGACACTAAAAATGGCAAGCTACACATATTCTGAAATACCCCAAAATTCCAGAGAGATGCTGATGGATGATGTGAGTTGTAGTCCAACATCATCTGGAGGGGAGGTCAGTTCTTTATCCTTGCATGATGTGACCCTGTGCTTTCTTCATTAAGGCTAACTAACATTTCTTTTGATAAATTGTGACAAATATCCCCATTTTGTAGAATTCCAAAAAACAAACAAACCAAGAAACAAGAAAAAAACCTAGTACGCCTGAATAAGGATGGGGAAGAAATTGAATTCAATACCCATTTAATGGTGAACTTACCTAATCCACACTTCTCAAAACAATATGTAAACAAAACCACAGCCATTCTTTGAAAGTCACACTTTTGTGAATTTTGTAATGGAGTTCTCCAGCAAAACAAAGCTGACATATCCACCCATCCCTGCTCTGGAGTTTGTTGGCAATTATGTAAGGTGAAAACAGCAAATCATACCTTGTAGTAAAATCTTTGATTGCAAAGAAGAGCAGCAAATGTTTTTTATCTGGGTCATCTTTAATCACAGGAGGTTTGCGGGTGTAGGAAGTTGGGACTCTGGAACCCTGGAGGCTTCATTAAGTACTCCTACTTCATTGTCTAAACTACTTTTTATTTAGATCTGTGTCGTGTATTGCAATTTCATGTACACCTCTTAGAAATGCGAATAATTAGGTGGTATATAAATGCTTTATAAAAAAATCAAGGGAAATTGTCAGTGTCCTGTCATACCTGAAAATGTGGTAGATATTATTCTTGAGGAATTTCTGTGTGAATTAATAAGTGAAGCAAACCAAAGCAAACCAATTATAAGCAAAATGATTACATTTTTCAAAAGTGCATGATATCCAGGTTCTCCTTAAGACATCTCTAGAACAAGGGACTCTGTGAATGCAAACTCCTACAAACAGACTAAGAAGTAAGCTTTATTGAAACCAGTGAGATTTAGTTCTGGCTAAACATTAATAGGACCTCACTACATTACTGTGCTAATCTTTAAATTAACATGTTTCAGAAAGATGTGCAAAGTAAGATGAGACACCTATCACTGGACTAACTAAAGCCATTTTATTTAATTTTAACATACCAGGATCAGGAATATTCATATCATTCTACAGGAGCCATACAATGCAGGAGCCATCTAGCAACCATCTCTGCTTCAAACCTGGGCAAAAATCTCCACTATCCACACTTTTAAATTGGCATTTGTTGTTAATTTCATAACATGTGGTTCTCAGAAAGTTTCCAAAAAGAGAAAGTGGCCCGCGGGTGGGGAAAAAAATCCCAATAACACAGTGATATATAACCCCTGCAACATAGTGAATAGTTGCCCCAATCTACTTAGCCCATAGGTGATTAGTTAAACCCACAATGCAACTCAAGCGTGGTGCTGAGACAACAACAGTAAGGTGCTGAGACAACAACAAATGTCCCTGATAGCTGCAAAACTGTCCAGAAGGAGTAGCCTTCCATCAATGTTTAATAATTTGTTATGCAGGAGTTCAGGTGATAATCATAGGTAGTCTCACTAGAAGTGGATGGCATAGTGGGGCTGCACTGATCATCTGACCTCCCTTTGGATGAGTTGTGGCTAAATTCCAGGATGGAAAGCCATCACGTACAAATTCACCAGCAGGAGCACCTAATGCATTTAATCAAGTCAACCTTGCCCCTCTTCCTCTCCATCCCACCATGCAGCAGCAACTCAACTCAGTCAGGTGAGCTAGTGATTTTCACCAAGATTTTTATGATAGGTGAGTTGTTGTACATCTCTCTGACTTTTTACAGTGTCATTGATTTAATTAGTAAGCTGTGGTAGAATGCAGGTAAAAAAAATGGGGGGAGCACAATGCTTTTACCTGTCACTCATATGAGTTGCCTCCTCTGACACTGTGATGTCAAGAGATTTTTGTGACCAAATGTATCCTTTTAAAATTAAAAATTAAAATGGCCACACCCACTTTTAAGCTTTAGCCACACCCACTTTTACACTTGAGGCACATCCACTTTAATGTGTGCCATGAGTTGCCATGGGTCAATGCAGTCCTTGGCCTGGAAAAGATTTTTCACCCCTGAACTATGTAATACACAAAGACCTATTGAAACCAATTGATTTCAGTAACTTTATCATGTGTCCAGTACTGGGTCTAAGCATTTATTATTTCCATGACTTTATTTATTCAGAATTCTGCAAAATCCATTTGTTGGGATTAAACAGAAAATCAAATATCATTTAATCTATTTCAACAATAGGTCAACGAGGTCAAGGTTCAGATGCTCTTAGATTCTCAAAACCACTCACCAACAGTAGCACCTAGGAATGGCAACACTTTCATGAAAATCAGATATGCCCAGCTGTTTCCTTTCACTTTTAAATTTTAGGGGCAAAATGTCCACACACCAGAATAACTTCAGTTCATTATTCATCTTCTTCCAAAGTCTCAAAACCCCAACATTTAGGAACTTTCCCCTGAAGAGGTTAGAAACACATGAACATTTCTGCCTGGCTGAAAAGGTTGTAAATCCTTTCTATTTCATAAAACCTTTAATTCAGAAATAAAATCAACCAAGAGGAACCTATATATCCCTAGATATGGTTGGACTTCAAATCCCATCAGTCCCAGCCCACATGGATAATGTTCAGAAATGATGGGATTTGTAGTCCAGCAACCTCTAAAGGGTCAAAGGCTCTCCATCACTGTCCTACAGGAATGCTCCTCAATAACCCCCATGAATGGCGCAACACAAGATGTGCAAACCCAAGGCACTCTCTGTTACTACTCAACAAATCAGACACTTTTTGTTGGATAATTTTTATTAAAGGTTTTCATTGGTTACAAAAGTATGTGCAAATACAACTCTTTGGGACAGTGGTCCCACAAGAAATATGCAAAATAAATAAACAGGCATTAGAAGCCACCCCAGAACTGGCCCTCTTGAATATTTTCCAAGAAAATAATGCTCACTCACAATATAAAGAGCTTATAACCCACCAACTCTCAGCAGCCAGTAACATCAAAGCTAGACACAAAGAGATCTGTGACCTGAGCCCCCAAACCCTTGTTTAGAAACACCTTGGGGAGAAGTGTCAAACTCTAACCAGTGATGCTTTCATTCTTTCTCTTCAGATGGTCTCATGGAAGTATTGGTATGCATTGGTATGGTATTGGTATGAGTTTGTGGGTTCCAGACCTCTCTAATCTCTGAATCCAATGAGTATTAGAATTTAATCAAGGCTTGGAATGTTAAGCAGGATGCCAGACCTCTCTAATGCCTAAATCCAGCAAATGATAATCAAGCCTTCAAATTCTGGGAAATATCCAGACTAGAATCCAGGTGTGGTCTAAGGAGAACAAAGGAAGGGCTTTGTGGGAGATGGCACCCTTTCTCTACTTGCAGATAGTGAGAAGGACAAAAGCCAGAGTTAAGAGTTAGCTGTTATGTGAGCTAGATGCTGGAGGCAAAAGCAGCAAGCTGGAAAGGCAGAGAAACACAGCATGATGTTTGTTGTCTGCTTAAATCCAAGGCAGTGGATATGGGAGAAACAAGACCTTCTGGTGTAAAGCATGCTGGTGCAAGTTGAGCCGACCTAAAACTAGACTAGTTCCAAGCCACTTCCAGCTGCTGCTGCTACTGCTGCTGCTCTACCCAGAGACATAGCATGGGGGGTGCAGGTGAGCCATGCCCCCAAACACACATTTTTGAGGGGGCATAGAGCCCTGGCAGCTAAGGCGCAGTGCTGAGCAGGTTGGTCTAGTGGGCGGGTGGATGGAGGCAGCAGGCAAGGCAGATCAGGATGACTCAACACCTAGCTTGGGGGAGGCATTCATCAATAGTTTCCCTAGCAAATCATTCATTTTATGTAAACCGCCTTGAGGTTTTTCCCACAATTATGCAGTATTTAAATGAAATAAATAAATAAATAAAATAATTGTTCTGGCTCCGCTAAACCTCCCCCTTGGTTGGATGGTGTTCTTGATGGTTGGATGGTGTTCTTGAAGCTACCAGCATGAGTTTGATCAAACTGCGGGAGGCAGTGGAGGACAGAAGTGCTTGGCGTGCTCTTGTCCATGGGGTCACGAAGAGTCGGACACGACTAAACGACTAAACAACAAGAACAAACCTCCCCCTTACCAGTCCCCTCAAATGTATAACAGTGTGCATAGGTTTTTATCACATAATTTCATTTTAAAAATCAGGATAGTATGAAAATCACGATATTATGAAAATCTACATCATTGTCAAGCCTTGATCAAAGTCATTTTCTTAGGAGCTTATTTAAAGCTATTTTCACTTCTTTGTTTTTTAGGCTGTATATGATAGGGTTTA